CACAAAAGGAAAGGGTATTTTGAATTTTTCCTCCGGGGGTATGGGTCCTATTGTTGGAACCCTTCATCGCTCCACGGAGACACCACTGCGGTAAGTCGAATTCGCATTATAATGACTGTGGTAACGTATTTTGAAATAGAATTGAGGTTTCTCTTGTGAAACCAATTTCTATTATAAATACTTACCACAGTCATTAGGTGAGTTCCCTCCCAGCCTCCCCTTGTCTCCTTGGCTCTCACTTTTTTGGGCTTTGGAATTATGAAGTGGGAAGCATGGCTTCGTGTCTTAAATCACGTGCGTGAATACTGCCGTCTGATTGGTGGGTTTCCCAGGGGTTCCCCATGGGGGGAAAAATTCTTTATTTACGTATGTAAAGAGCCAAGTAAGGTTGGAATATGCATTATAATGACTGTGGTAAGTATTTATAATAGAAATTGGTTTCACAAGAGAAACCTCAAATTAATCAAGAAAATATCACATTTTTCACCAAAATTTCATTATAAAATAATTGAAAAAATTAAAACCAACACAATTTCAGAATATTCTATGATAGATATAATGCATAATTTATATATAAGGGGAAAGAAATGAAAATGACCAAACTTTTCCAAAAAACATCACACATCTCAAATATACATCCATTTTTCGACACTATATCATCTCTGAGGCATTTTAGATGAGAAAGAATACCTTGCGTGTATTATAAATCAATTGTGTACAGTTTCAGGATCATGTCGTACGTAACGCTACGTATCACCGCATACCCCTGACAACTGATTCAAAACCTTTAAAATAGGACATTCAATTTGTGTGGTGAACTTGAGTCCCGATCGTCAACATTGGCCGAGTATTGATTGTGATTTCCACTGCAACGGTTTAGAGATGAGGTCTACTGTTTGTGTAGGTAATGACACCGATTATAGTTAATTAAGTAATCTGCCCCAATTAACTATGAATATCACTGCGTTCCATACACATGTACCCTGGTAGTGGTCCGTCTTACAAAAAGTCTGGTTAGTTTGCCAACTTGACCGACTGTGGCGACAGGAAAATCACTTAAAGCATTAAGAAACAGCAAAATGAAAATCCAGACCCAACATTTTTCCCAAATAACAAAAAATAACCTTTACAAAGATTTAAATGTTTTCATTAAAGCTCCATTTTAAAACCCAAATATTCAGTGTTGTACTTGCTTTATATATATATAATAGAAACCAAAACATTTATATAGATATATAGATATACTATATAAGGAATCTGAATTCTAATGTAAATCGTGTCTTTGTTGGAAATCAAAATGTTTATCAAATTTGTATACCAAGTATACCATACATTTATATCAACAGCTTTAAAACCTCAAACTGTAAGGTTTTGATCTATTTATTGGGATTCCAGGACAATTATTCTGAAGCTGATCAAACAAGTCTATGTGAATCCCCTCACAGAAATGTTGCCAGTACCACGCAATCTCAAGGAATCAACTCATTTTGATTTTGTGACAAATGTATTTCCAGGCCGAGATTTTTGAAATAAACAGCTATGTTACGATAAAAAAAATGATCTCCTCACATTATTCGGGCAGCAATAACTCTCTCCTGTCCCTTCTTCATATAATAATGACATCATGCAAAATTACGACTCAATACTATTTTAGGACTTGTTTTTGAACAGTTTGATGCAGTTAACCTTATGAATTATATCTTATTAGTTTGGTTTGGTTAAGTATTGTTGAACGTCCTATCAACATCTATGGTCATTAACGGACGGTATATCTTATTAACTTAATATCTATAAAAAGTCAGTCACTCATGCTGGTTAAGTGTTTGAAACCACAAGACTTGCATTAATCACAATCTCAGCAGCATTTTTTAACCAATTATTATTCTTTACATGCAGTAAAAGGAATATTTTGTGGGTTTCATTTGTTATCTTGATCAGTATCATGATTAGAAAATAAACATGGACATAACCGGTTATTTATTTAACACATATTTCAAATGATCTGTAACCAAACCTTGATAAAGTCATCGAACATCTCCCGTTAATGATCTACAACATCATGGCCAGATTTTTAGAGACGGCTGGTCACAAGATGGAAAATCAAACTGAGCTGGTGACAATTAGAAGCTCTTCATAGATAACAATGGTGGTGAGATGTTGCTAAGTGCCCCCGTCAAAGCGAGCATGAAAGGCTAAAAATATCACACTGTCAACATTTTTTGTAACCATGGTGAACGAATTAATGAAGCCACGTATAAACATTTGAGCAAATTATAGATTGGTCACAAGTCAGGAAAATTTCTAGCAACCTTACATTATAATGCCTGTGTATTTTATTTATTCTTTTACTTCACGAAGTGTCATATTTCTTCCTATAAATGTACCCTGCATTGAACTTCTTTTTGGAATGTAGAACTTCACAATTTTTAAGTATAATTCTAATCGAATTTAACCATAAAAATGCACAACTTTTTTTTTTTTAATCATTGATTACAATGAACTTGATTAAGAACTGTATTTCATAAATCAAATATTTTGTTAAGGAAGACCTGCATCCCATCCAAAGCCACTTAAGGCTATTTGCCACTACATGTACTGCACTATCTACTTGTGATTTGTGTAAGAGGAAAGGTTATAAGTCAACTAAAACATTGTTTTTGTGATTTATAATTGAGTTAAGGCTATATGCTACCTAACACTTAATATCTGAGATTTGTACCCAGAGTTTACTTTCTTGCTTTATCAATGAACTTTTTCATATAATTTAGAACCATTTGAGTGTAAACAATAGACTCATTCCTGTGTACTTCTCAAGCATGTCCTTAATTGATAAACAAGGTCCAAATTATCATTCATATGATATACTTCACAAGGAGGGTCACATTTCATTTATACAAAACTGATTCCCCCAGAAATGATTTACCAAATTGAAAGTAAATATATTAGGAAGATTTGAGGAATATAGTCTTTTAATGATTCTTTATATGTCAATATCTATTATTGAATCCCACTACTTTAACCATCAGGGGATCCACACCTTCTACAGTAACCAATACTTGTAATATGGAAGCCTGGCTGTTGTGAAGTCGTATGATGCCACCAAGTTAATGTTGATGCAAGCCTTGAGTTTGGAGCTTTAAGTTTGGCTGTCTGATATTTGGAAACAGGCCTCAACCTTTTGCTGTCTGATATTTGGATACAGCCCTTAAGTTTGGCTGTCTGATATTTGGATCCAAGCCTTGGGTTTGGCTCTGCAGTGCCACATAGTTTTGGTGACAGCTGATCCTGCTCGAGTCACTACAGTGTCAGATATCCCACCGGTTCGTCATCTGACAGACATGAATTATGTATGAGTGCAAATAAACCAGGGTAAATAGCTGTTACTCCTCCAGTGTCTACAACTTCTGACCTTCATTACAGAAGAGATCTGCTTCATTGATCCCTCGTGACAATGTGTTCTTTTGATTTTTCGTCATTCGATGCTGTCGGTAAAAAAATAAAGTGGCAAATCCAGCGCCTTCATTTAGAAATCTCTCTGCTGTGTAACTCAGACTCATTCTGTTCGTTTAGAGACAGGTTCAAATCGCTCTGCTTCATCATTTCTCTCTAAATTCTCTAATCATACTAGCATACGTGGTATTTTGTGCGACATTTCATCTCAGGGTCTTATGTGCTGGGATTAAGTGCTCAGCAGACCTGATAAACTGAATTCGACCACCTTCATAATAAATTGGATTTGGCCCTGGTATCCTCGAAGAGTTTCTGATCCCCCTAGATGGCAAAGATGATTGAAGTAATTGAATTTGATTAGCTTTTCGCAAACACAAGGGGCACCTTGATTAGCTTTGCAACTACACGAGGGACAACTCGATTTAAGAATACAATCACACAATAGCATCTTGAAACTATTTGTAAAACAACGTTGATTAGGGCTGATTCGAAGTTAATTCACGTTGACTTCACAACACAAATCAACACCAATAGTCGTAATACCAAACACCAGAGAGCAACTTTCAATTTTCGCTAATAGGAAGTCACAAAGAAAATTACTCTTTTCAAATATTTTTTTTTGTATCTCTCCCAGTTATTTTTCTCTTTCCTAATTTTGAACTGGTGTTTTACTGAATTTTCTGAAGTTACTCTTTTTTGTCCTTTAGAGTTTTCAATCAAAATTCACATTCATCGATAAGATTGCTACCTTTTGATAATTTTTGTGATGGAGTTGACAAATATTTAACAATTCAAAAACAAACAAAATTGACACTCCATTCAGATTTTATTTTGTTACAAATACATTATATTTACAGGCTTTTTGAAAAAATGCCTTCTAACTGACCACCTGTGAAAATAACATCACTGGAATTTGGAACTGTAAGGTCATTTGACTGAAGCTGATTGCCTCAAACCTTTGTCATATTTTGACCATATTTAAATTAAGGATGAGTGTATCTATGACATATTTTCCATGCTTTGTATAAAGATAAAATGTACAAAACTAAGTATATTTCCGTAACGAATAAATGTGGCACAAACCACTTTTTACGAAAACTATTTATACAGTCCACCTCAATACACTAAAACAAATAAAATATAATAGTTACACTTCATAGGGTTTGAACTGACAACCCACAGCTCATACAGTCAACATTCTACTGAAACATTGTTTTTGATTCGGAGAGTCATTTGGTTAAAAAAAGGAACTTTCCAAGGAGTTAGTCACAACATGTGTAAAAAAACTTGCACAAGATGACAATGATGCTGTGATACCTTCATCCTTAGAAATACAGTACGGTTGTTACACATGATACCCTCTTGCCCTGGATACCCCTTGAAACCAATAGGTGTGCCCGCTGAAACCTACAGTGTGTGTACATATCATTTTTTCTACAGAGGCGATATCAGTTTCAAGCAAGCCTTATAGGTACAAGCATGACATTTCAACTGCTTCAATCTTCAATCCATGTATTTACTTAAGATTATGTAAAAAAGTTAGCACTGACCTTCACATCTTTCCCGGTGTTTTTCTCGTATTCGTTCAAAATAGGCAGAGTCTGGAGCCTCGTGACAGAAGAAGCGCATGCTGTTGTCATAGGGACAGGAGAATCCTGAAAGGCATCAAAATAGCGAGAATATTATATTCATCAAAAATAATAAAAAAAACAAGTAATTAAGGTTTCAATCAAGTTTTACACACACATACTGGAAACGTTGAACTTGACCCACTGATGTTATTATATTGTACATTGGTGACAATGTTAGATTCATTTTGGTGTTTCCGACAGAAAGTTGCATATAAGCTGACAATCAGATTTAGACGGGATCAAACCAGCAACCCTAAACCTCCCAGTCTTCAACTCTAGCAATTTAGATAAGGGGAAATCTTTTATAGCTGGGAGGCGACAGAGATCATGGGTAGATTCTGTAGAGTTAAAACCTGCCACACAATTCCGTCCTTTTTAAAAATAAGTTTGGCCTTTGAAAATCACTTCAGCCCAGGTTTTAAATCCCTGTCACCATATAAGAGGGATGGCCACAGACACCATTTGTAACAGGAACGAGAGAAACTTTGCGCGAGCTCACACATATATACCTCCGCTTGGAGAGATGGATGGACAATGGACAAGGTGATTCCTCTATACCCTCAAACTTTGTGTCATGGAGTATAACAACAGAATCATAAATACCTTTCTTCATGCCCATCTACATATTATGTACTTTCAGAGTACAATGGACTATGTATGGTTTGGGCCTGTTTTGGCCTCCAAATGCATCAAAATTCAAAACCTTTAAATTAACTTTGAAATGACTGTTTTTTTAATTTCGAATACTACCCGAATACTATTATGAAAATATTTATTTAAATTACTTATTATTGTTGCCATGGTAGCAAGTTCAAATTTGCATAAATTAGAAAAATTTGAATATTCAGTGAATATTGTGATATTTTGCATATTTTTTCTCCTAAAAACTATAGAGTGCATGCTTGAACAAACTTAATATCAAAGGATAATGTGAAGGCACATGTAATACATCTTTAGGAGGAATATAAAGTTTGTTTAAGAGTGCGCTCTATGGTAGCTAAGAGAAAAACTAGGTAACAACCTGTCAAAATTGACTGAATAATCAAATTTCAATAATGAAAACACAAATAAATGATTACATACTAGTACTGGGGAATTATTCTAAATCAAAGAAACAGTCGTTTGAAAGCAAAAAAGGCCAAAACCATACATAGTCCTTTACAAAATAAATCCAACAAGCAGTAAAGGATGAGTTTCACTAACAAGGTTTCTGGAGCAGAAATTTAAAATTTCATGGGCCATAACTGCAAGAAAATCATTCAAATGGCAAATTCCATGCTTCATGCTCATCTAAATATGAAGTACTTTCACTCTGCCAGTTTACAAAAACAATCAAACAAACAGTTAATTTGTTGACAACTCGACAGACAGACAGGGAGAATCTAATACTAATACCCACCAAAAATGTGTTTGCAGGAGGTATAAAGATAGTAAATTTGCTTCCACAAGAAATCAAACCTGCAACACCCTAGTGTACAAATTGAGAAAAAGGGGAATTGTGTCTAATATATGAGAAGCTAAAAAGCAACCATGCATGATCTTATGTCATATTAGAACCTGCCAGGCACAACTATGTAAATGAAGATAGCTGTAACGATATGACCTATCAATCTCTCATTTTTTTGTAAATACTGATTTGTAACTGTACATTTCTGTATTTGTATCTCAGCTAGTACATACAGATATGGCAACAAATGTACTCAACACATAATGAGCCTCAATATCCCTTGACCACATTCAATTTCAATGCATACAGACATGTATTAAATACATCCTTGTGGTGATTATCTAATACTTCCTTGTGGTGAGTTACCTGTTTATACAGCGCTCTCCATAAATAGAGTACTTATTTTCCAGACATTTCAGGTTACAAAATTATATTGGTTTGTTGCTTAGCTAAATGGATGCCACTGTGTTTCTTCCTGATCCAAAAATTGCTAAAGACTTGTGTAACCTTTTCTTTTATTAATATGGGGCCCTGAAACCTGCAACCTGATAACATGATAAATCTTATAATTACTGTGTTATAGGCCATACCTTAACAGGTAGCACTGTATAGGTACACTTTTCTCTGCTAGTTATACATGGGCATTGATCATGAGGTTTATGACCTTGTGTAGCTTTGTGAAATACGATGTCATGCAGCAATGTAAATTTAAGGTACAACATCCTCTGTCTGTTATACATGGAAATTCAGGTGTATGACATCAAGAAGCATCACAAAAATAGCAATTTTCTTTGACAGTTACACATGGAGATCAAAGTTTATGACGTTGTGTAGCAGTATAAATTTTAGGTACAATACTCAAATAGTACAAGCAGACTTTAAAATGTGATGTAGCAGTGTAAAGAGACAATGACTTCCATGTGATAGCTAGTCATGTGTGGAGAGGTTCAAGAATATTGTACTCTGCTGTATCTCACATATATTTATTCTATCAAATAACATCTAATATTTTATTAGAAGAAGAGACACACAGCATATCTTCACAAAAATTAAGTGATTTAAGGTATACAATCACATTAGTGCTGGCTGTGACAGGATTTCTAGCTGTTCAGTACCATTAGGCGATGAGACATTTTCAGCACACTGTGGATCTCTGGAGTCTGACTGTGCTGGTGAGCCTGGGAGATAATTATACATTGCTCCCTCCCTTCCTTGTTAGCAGACTCTAACACACTCAGTACAGTACTGTGTCATTATATCCACACAGACTGTAATCAATGTCGCAGTCATCCCACCACATACACCGAATATAGTCATCCCACCGCATACCCCGATATATAGTCATCCCACCATATACTCCGAATATAGTCATCCCACCGCATCCACTGATATATAGTCATCCCACCCCAAACACAGATATATAGTCATCCCACCGCATAGAGATATATAGTCATCCCACCGCAAACACAGATATATAGTCACCCCACCACATACACAGATATATAGTCATCGTACCGCATACACAGATATATAGACATCCCACCACATACACCGAATAGAGTCATCCCACCGCATACACTGAGATATAGTCATCCCACCGCATACACTGAGATATAGTCATCCCACCGCATACAGATATATAGTCATCCCACCGCAAACACAGATATATAGTCACCCCACCACATACACCGAATATAGACATCCCACCGCATACACCGATATATAGCCATCCCACCATATACACAGATATATAGCCATCGTACCGCATACACCAATATAAAGTCATCCCACAACATACACTGAAATATAGTCATCCCACCGCAAACACAGATATATAGTCACCCCACCACATACACAGATATATAGTCATCGCACCGCATACACAGATATATAGTAATCCCACCATATCCACCGAATATAGTCATCCCACCGCATTCACAGATATATAGTCATCCCACCGTATACACAGATATATAGTCATCCCACCCCATACACCGAATATAGTCATCCCACAACATACCAGTACTGTGTCATTATATCCACACAGTCTGTAATGAATGTCGCAGTTATCCCACCACATACACCGATATATAGCCATCCCACCACATACACCGAATACAGTCATCCCACCGCATACACAGACATAGTCATTCAACCACATACTCCAATATAGAGTCATCTCACCACATACACCAATATATAGTCATCGTACTGCATACAAATATAGTCATCCCACCGCATACCCCGATATATAGTCATCCCACCATATACACAGATATATAGTCATCGCACCGCATACACAGATATATAGTCAGCCCACCACAAACACAGATATATAGTCATCCCACCCCATACACCGAATATAGTCATCCCACTGCATACACCGAATATAGTCATCCCACTGCATACACCGAATATAGTCATCCCACAATATACACTGATATATAGTCATCCCACCCCAAACACAGATATATAGTCATCCCCCCGCATACACCAATATATAGTCATTCAACCGCATACACTAATATAGTCATCCCACCACATTCACAGATATATAGGCATCCCACCGCATACACAGATATATAGACATCCCACCATATACACAGATATATAGTCATCGCACCGCATACACAGATATATAGTCAGCCCACCACAAACACAGATATATAGTCATCCCCCCACATACACCGAATATAGTCATACCACAACATACACTGATATATAGTCATCCAACCGCAAACACAGATATATAGTCACCCCACCACATACACAGATATATAGTCATCGTACCGCATACAAATATAGTCATCCCACCGCATACACCGATATATAGTCATCCCACCATATACACAGCTATATAGTCATCGTACCGCATACACCAATATATAGTCATCCCACAACATACACTGATATATAGTCATTCCATCACATACAAATATATAGTCATCCCACCACATACACCGATATATAGTCATCCCACCGCATACACCGATATATAGTCATCCCATCGAATACACGGATATATAGTCATCCCATCACATACACAGATATATAGTCATCCCACCGCATACACAGACATAGTCATTCAACCACATACACCAATATAGAGTCATCTCACCACATACACCAATATATAGTCATCGTACCGCATACAAATATAGTCATCCCACCGCATACACCGATATATAGTCATCCCACCGCATACACCAATGTATAGTCATCTCACCACATACACCAATATATAGTCATCCCACTGCATACACCAATGTATAGTCATCCAACAGCATATACCAATATATAGTCATCCCATTGCATACAGATATATAGTCATCCAACAGCATACACCGATATATAGTCATCCAACAGCATATACCAATATATAGTCATCCCATTGCATACAGATATATAATCATCCAACAGCATACACCGATATATAGTCATCCAACCACATACACCGATATATAGTCATCCAACTACATACACCGATATATAGTCAGTTCCCGCCACATACACTGATCATACATTGATAAAGTCTACATGTAACTATCCTTGAATAGACCAATCCATCAGATCCTGTATAATACACATTCACCATTGTCAAAAGACAGGTCCCTCGGCGCCTTTAGAATACACACTCACCATTGTCAAAAGACAGGTCCCATGGCGCCTTTAAAAGACATACTCACCATTGTCAAAAGACAGGTCCCTTTGCTCCTTTAAAAGACATACTCACCATTGTCAAAAGACAGGTCCCTTGGCTCCTGTTTGATATGCACGGGAGGGGGCGGAGCACAAGGTGGTTGTGGGTACCCATGATTCCGTGTGATGGTGGCCATGTCGTAGCTGCGATCGTGATGCTCTTGTTTGAAAAAATGATGGGCATAGGATGAAGACACGAGGTGTGAGTATCCGGACTGAGGCTCCGCAGAAATGTAACCTCGTTCTGGATCTGATCGGTGTAACCTGAAAAAGGAGTTTATTTTGATTTTATGAAGTATTTTAAATTATTCAATTTTTATAGTAGATTAGATGTTTGATCGTTTCTTTGTAACAGAGGAAATGGAAAGGATGAAAAGAATAAAGAAACCAAGTAATACCTGCATGTCTATTTTACAGTGGGGAGAGAATACGATAGAATAGCCAGGTAATGTCAGTATCTATTTTACAGGGGGGAGAGAAAACGATAGAATAGCCAGGTAATGTCAGTATCTATTTTACAGTGGGGAGAGAAAACGATAGAATAGCCAGGTAATGTCAGTATCTATTTTACAGTGGGGAGAGAAAACGATAGAATAGCCAGGTTATGTCAGTATCTATTTTAAGGGAGGATTCAGAAACGGAAGAGATGGAATACTGTATTAGCTTATTAAAAAGAAAATCACTGCAGTTTTACATTTATGTTTTACACTCTCATAAAGGGGAGCAAATCTATCATAGGAGCAAACATTAATAAACAACATAATAGAAACGGTAATCAAAGGTGAAAGGTGAAATTTACACTGGATGAATGCAGATTTGACCATCGTAGGGTTGAAGTTTGACTAGGTGAACATTCCCAGGTTACAGTCGTTAAGTTAAAAAAAAGTCGGTATTAGGAGGAGTGAGGAACGATGGAATAATCAAATTATAGCTTTAAGCTTTATATATCTATTTCTACAGGAAGGGAAAGGATGAAACTATTGAATTATACAATCACCTATTTCACACAGGTAGGGGAAAATATAGAAAAGCCAAGTTGTAGATATATCTGTATATTAAGGGGGGTGAGGTTGAAGAAGAAAGGGGGTGGAGTACCTGGATGAGTGACTAAAGTAGGTACAGCTGGCTTCTGCGGGTGGTGAAAAACACACCGACTCCTTACTACACGAGCCCGATGAAGACAGCGTCGAGCCAGACTCTTTTCCTGAGTTGGAGGAACACACGGACTCTGTGGGTGATGGGGTCTGTTCATATGAGCCATTGACAAAACTCCTTTCCCCAAATTCAAACTTTGACAGTGAGGGTTTGTGGCAGCACTGAGGATTGGTGGACTTACAACAGCTGTTTGAGGTTGACTTTGCCTCTGGCTTCACTTTAAGGCATCCATTCACTGAAACAAAAAACGGCAAATTCTAAAAGGTTCACTCAATAAAACATAAATTAATCAATTCTAAAGGAATCTACTCCCTGACACACAAACAGAACAACCCTAAAGGAATCCACTCCCTGACTAACAAACAGAACAACCCTAAAGGAATCCACTCACTGACACACAAACAGAACAACCCTAAAGGAATCCACTCACTGACACACAAACAGAACAACCCTAAAGGAATCCACTCACTGACACACAAACAGAACAACCCTAAAGGAATCCACTCACTGACACACAAACAGAACAACCCTAAAGGAATCCACTCACTGACACACAAACAGAACAACCCTAAAGGAATCCACTCACTGACACACAAACAGAACAACCCTAAAGGAATCCACTCACTGACACACAAACAGAACAACCCTAAAGGAATCCACTCACTGACACACAAACAGAACAACCCTAAAGGAATCCACTCACTGACACACAAACAGAACAACCCTAAAGGAATCCACTCACTGACACACAAACAGAACAACCCTAAAGGAATCCACTCACTGACACACAAACAGAACAACCCTAAAGGAATCCACTCACTGACACACAAACAGAACAACCCTAAAGGAATCCACTCACTGACACACAAACAGAACAACCCTAAAGGAATCCACTCACTGACACACAAACAGAACAACCCTAAAGGAATCCACTCACTGACACACAAACAGAACAACCCTAAAGGAATCCACTCACTGACACACAAACAGAACAACCCTAAAGGAATCCACTCACTGACACACAAACAGAACAACCCTAAAGGAATCCACTCACTGACACACAAACAGAACAACCCTAAAGGAATCCACTCACTGACACTCCATGAGAATAAGTCTGAAAGAATTCTATTGAAAATATTATACATTAGATACGAAGTAAGACGGGATATCCCATACCTGTGGATAACTTAACACAGTAGATATCTATAATGACCAGATATCCCCTCCCCGCCCTGTGGATAACCAAACACAGGAGATGATGGGACTGACAGGATATCTCACCTCTGTGCATAGAGCATTGTAAATCATAGCAATTAGCGAGACTCAGATCTCCATAACAACCGTCCATCATACGCTCCAATATTTAAACTGTCAAATTTGTCAACATTCATGACGTATTGAAGCTGCATATGGCCGTCTATGGATATCACATTATCTTTGTTAATCTCTCTCACTGTCCACGTTGACACGGATAATCACGGCACTGTTGTACAGCCACAGTATGCCATCCATAAATTATTCAAAATCTGACAACAACAAATCACCGAGGGGTTAAAGATTCAAAACGGTGTATATGCGAGACAAACATGTTTTTTCCCCCGCTGTTATTACCCCAGGTTTAATATGCACATATAACGTGGATATGCTCGGATAGATTTTCAAACATTGTTCATATGATGTCATCAAACTATTTAATTAAGGTTTCCATTTTTTTATGACTGGTGCTGTCATACTAAACTATAATACAAACGTCGTTAATATAAAATCTTAATTTAGAAAATAATGGCGTTAACATTACTCCCGATAATGCTGGTCACTGCTGATGGTATTATAGACCCTTCATTGCATGATCAGGACAATTTCAGTTTCCACATCATGTCAAAAAATACAGCAATGTCTTATAATGAGTTGTCAGACTTGACTGATGGGGATTAAACAAATGTCTTCTCACCAAACACCAGACTATAGGGCTCAGGGACATTACACTAGCAGATGCTGATGAAGCGTTCATGAATATGGGCATAATGGGATACATACACCTTTATCAAAATTTTGAAGCAATTTTTGTCAAAGTTTTGAATTTGATGTTCCATTATTTAGTAGAATCGCCATATTTTTCATGGAAGCAATTTAATTCGAGAACTTGAAGTGAATTCCTAAGCTCGCCATTAATTCTCTCACATTACATTTCCCTCATCAAATCTTTGAAACAGATTTTAATGGTTAAACATTATGAAATTCCATAATAATAATCTAAACCATATTCTTAACTACATCATATTTTGCAAACTTAATATCTCTTAAATCACACAAACTAAGATAATCAAATATCTATATTTCTTCCTAATGTCATATGTCATATTTATATCCCCGATAAAAAAGTACCGGGAAACTTTATTATGGGGGATATAAGTATTACATGAACAACGAATCGTTGCTTAATGCCACTGTCTGTTAGGTATTTTGTAGTAATTTCACCCACGAAATAGCTTCATCAGTGACTTTTAAATCTACTGATTGTGTTACAAATCAAGTAAGAATAATATCATTTCATTGCATGAGGGTGAAAATCAACCATCGTTTGCTGGATATCCTTCAAAGGGCCATAACTCTGTATTTAGTGGGACACGTACAGGTCACAATTTCAGCTTGCAACACTAATTGTCATCCCAAGAGGTGCTCACGTCCATTTTTTTGCAATTATAGGAGATAGGGTATATGAGATAAGCAGAAAAAGATGGAGGGACAGATAGACAGAATGTAGAAGTGAGGTCCTCTTCAACACATCCTCGATATCCAGGGGTTACGCTCACTTTCACTCTCTACACCGCTGGAATATGTCATAGCAAAATTGAAGGCTTGGTATGTGCCACCTTGTTGATGAGACAAGAAGACTAGTTCTATTCTTTGATGTATACATTAAAAGAATCTCGGGGTCACGTAATGGTAAAAATTGACAGGCTTTGAAGTCAGGCGTCTCTCCTTTGTAATCTTCAAAGGACACGTATCAGCCTAGTGATTGGTCAATTTTTTTTTATACCCGAGACCAATCAAACAGCTATCTTCGTGCCTTCAATTTTGCCATGACATATTCCAGGGGTGTAGGGACTGAAAGTGAGCGTAACCCCTGGATATCGAGGATGTCGTCAGCAGTATTGGTGAGGAACTTAATGAAATGGACAATTCCAGTTGAGCTTATCATTTAGTGAATATCTTGGTCTTATTCCGAAAGTAAGACTCATATATAGCATCAAATCTAACAGTTAAGGACTTTTATTTCGTTGAATCTGGGGTTTTATAGACCTGAAAAGTGATATTGAAGTCAAGGTCAATATAACTTTTTTCAGGTTCATATAAACAAATATTCACCTAAAAAAATAATCCGTATTTGATAAATATTATTTTTCAGTAATAAGAATGAATGATTGCCTAAACTCCAAAGCATCTTGGAAATGTGTCTTCCAAAACAAATCATTTTAAATGATATCAGAATATAATGGTAGAATTCAGCCAATCATAATGGCATCAAAGTCAGAAATGTCACAAGATGACTTTACAATGAGGCTTCAAGTACTCTCACTGAAATGGAACCAAAGTTTTGGAAGATATCCGAGTTTAAGAAATCTTCCATTGTTTCTGATAATAAGTTTGAGGTACTGAAGTTCACCAGGAGTATGCCAGTACATGATCAGGGTCATTGGAGAGCTTGTAATTACTCCGACCCCAGCATGCTCTTGTTTCAAGGCACGTACTAGTACAACTCGATCAACTTACTCTTGTTCTCATTCTGCCAGATTTTCACCTGGGACTGTATTTCTAGAACTCACAGGGATTACAGGTGGACATCTGTATAGCTGTGGAGTATTTTTACCATGAGCTGCCTATCTTTCTGTGGTAATATAGCGGTTATATATGCTGAACTACTTTTATCACTGTCTGTCGGTGTTTCTCCGCCTCTCTCAAACTATCATGTTTGTATTAGTATAATGAGACTGTGTAATCAGATTGCTCAAATTTACCCAGCTGTACAGATGAGTATTTAGTATATTAGGAAGTATTCATGTGAAGGACTGGCAACCTTCTATGGTCAGATGCATGTCTTTACATGTGTACCACATAAACTCAGGTTTCCACTCTAGATTAATTGACATTGTTCAATTGTAATATCATAATATAAATGCAGTATATGTAGTTCCCATCTTGAAAAAAATAAATTAACAGAGCATCAAGGTACCTACCAAAAAATAAAAATAAAATAACATCGAATATGTTACAAAAAAGAATCAAAGCACAGCCCAGATTTAACCAAGTATTTTACAGAACAACCAGTACTTAAATTCGATCCTCAACGTTTATTTTTAGAACTTCAGATTGTAATAGATGTTAAATTAATACAAAAACATAATACGTTTGTCTTGAAATGTACTACTGATGACCGCTGAAAGATAAAACAGTTACGAAGCCATAACATGGAACAACCTCCACGTCATTATTTCAATTTACTAATTAATGACACATAACGACTTAAATTACCACCTGAAGACGGCCAATTTGTTCCCATTGCCCATAATTAATTCAATTAAAATCCATATCTCATGCATTTAATATGCGTAGCTTTCATCCTCCTAGTCCTACTCACTTAGGCTGGCTATTATTTACAATTACCAGCGTCGTGGAAACGCTAGGGTGGACATACAATCACTGCTGTCTATGTTTTCGGGGTATTTAGTCGCGATTTCTCCTCGTGATTGTCACACTATATCACTTGATATGCGACGTTACCGTAACCTCAAGGAAACAACATCATTGCTGTAATTTGTCGCAAGATTTCTGAAATTACTACCAATGGTTCGCCTTGTAGCCACTAAATACCAAGTCAATAACGGGGGAAGATTTCAGATCAAGAATGCGAGATTAATTTTGAATTATTTACTTCACACTAAGAGAGAAAAAAAAAGGGGGGAAAGTAAAACCAGTTATGAGACAGACCTACAGAATATATTTCAATAAATGACAGATCACACTTAACTTTGATTATTCATCCTTTTTTTCTCAATCAATTTTCAGTCATGATGTTCCTGACAATGCTTGTCTGGAAAATTGGACAATGTTTTTAGTTTCCTTTCAAAAAATTAACTATAACAGTAACTGAAACCAAAATAAATTTGAAACGTATGAATCAGATAATTAAACACTTATTAAATGATTAATAAACAAATTGATTCTCAAATCATC